TGGCAGGGGGTTGGACTGGATGGCCCATGAGGTCTCTTCCAACTCTTTAATTCTATGATTCTATACCGTCGAGAGCTTCTGTTGGATAGCAATGGATACCTGCAGCTAGGAGAGGGTCCAAAATGGAAAAGTGCAGACGACTGGCACTGGGGGGCATGATTTCTTAGGGGACATTCATCCAAATATGCAAGTGACTCTGAATATAGCACAGTATATAGACCAGTGGTTCTCAACCTGTGGGTCCCCAGGTGTTTTGGCCTACAACTCCCAGAAATCTCAGCCAGTTTACCAGCTGTTAGGATTTCTGGGAGTTGAAGGCCAAAACATCCGGGGACCCACAGTTGAGAACCACTGATATAGTTGGAGGTTGAACATTTCTGCCATTTCACTGCTTAATCTGGAGCCATGGAGGTGAATTTAGCCACCCAAATGTTTATTAGGAACACGAATTAATATTGATGACCAAGCAACTAGAATGACTAGTTCATTCTCCCACACCAGGTCCAGGCCCATTCAGGTAACCACTTTTGTTAACGTTGCCTTTCCTCCTCTTCCCTTCTCCATGCTAATGGCAGTTACCAGGACTAATTTTACTGTGTAAGAGGTTGGGAGATGGTCACTTTCTGTTCTGGGTATTGTGGTGAAGTTCTATATATACGAGGGGTATTTTTTAAGTAAGGTCCGTTTTGTTGTAGACACTAGTAGTTCGCGCGCATACCGCAACGAGCGTGTGCGTTGTGTACCGGCATGCCTCGGGAACAACTGTGCTCAGTTTCCGCTCTGTAGCTAACCTGTACGGTTCTGTTCTGTGCTTTAAAAATGTTTAAGGCTATCAACTCACCCTCCGCACGTGAGGTTCGCTCAGTGATATGGTTTTTGTCTGCCTGCTGCAGAAATTCATCGTCAGATTTGTGAAGTGTACGGTGATACTGTTATGAGTGAAAGCAAAGTGCGTACGTGGGTACGACAATTCAAAGATGGCCGTAACAACATCCATGATGAGGACCACTCTGGTTACCCTTCTTTGATTACAGACGATTTGGTTATCGGAGCAGGCGGCAAGTTTTTATGAAGAGGGTATTTTAAAATTGGTTCAGAGGTATGGTAAGTGTTTGAAAAAACTTGGCAACTATGTCGAAAAATAGAGTGAAGTATGTACTTTCTGAAAATAAATTTACTTTTTTGAAATAAACTTTCGTTGTGTACTTATGTTCAAACGGACCTTACTTTAAAAATATCCCTCGTACATTAACCAGGAGTATCTGTGTAGGTCCATATTCTATGTGACATGCCATAGCTATATGGCTGCAATTGCCAACTGGTTTGACTTTAGTCCCAAGAGATGTAGACGGCAGAATGGCCAGGCCTGCTTAATTCTGATCTCCCTCTCCTTTCTCAAACTGGGGGTGGGGGAGCTAATTGTTTGGTTACACAAGACTGCCTGGAAGGGACAAGTGACAAATGTCCACTTTGGGTCCATGCAAACTGTGTGCTTCCCTAAGGCCTTGTTCAGACATTCTAGGAAAGGCAATTCTGTGTTGTCCCAAAGCAGACTAACACAGTGCTACTATGCTCCTCTAACTTAGGCCTTTTGTGAGAGGACCATCAGCTTTCCCAACCTATATCTGCAAATTACCTGGGCTGATTTTCCTATTCCTCTATTACACCACAGTCCAGATCTCTCCTTGGCCTCTACCTGAGGATGGCTGGATCCAAAATGCAAAGCTAAGAGACGCTATTCAAACTTTTCAGATGCCCATAGTTTAGGATGAGACTATGTGATAGTAACAGCTCTGTAAATAACTAACAGAATTACAGTTTGCCCTTCGCCAGTCTTTTCCTGTATGCTGTCTAGAGTGAAGTGACAATAAAACTATGCTAAATATATAGCACAGGAACCTCTCCAGTATTTTATTTCTGATGAGAGATAGGTACTGCAGGCTGCCCTGTCCGCAGAGGCGGCCCTAGGTAATTTTCAACAGTAAGCAAACAGTATTTTGCCCCCCCCCCCAACCAATCATTGATATATATTTTCTGTTTGTCATGGGAGTTCTGTGTGCCATATTTGGTTCAATTCCATCATTGGTGGAGTTCAGAATGCTCTTTGATTGTAGGTGAACTATACATCCCAGTAACTACAACTCGCATATGTCAAGGTCTATTTCCTCCCAAGAGCGCCTCAAGAGCGCCCCTGGGCAAAATCAACTATACTTCAAAGGCTTACTTTGCATAATGGTTGAGCCGCCCCTGCCTCTCCTCAGCACTTCCAGGATTTCATCTTCTAATAATCTCATCACATGAGAGAATGAATCCACTTTAAATCCAGTTGCTGCCTCTTGCAGAATTCTGGGGTTTGTAGTTTAGGAAGGAGCCTTTAATAGCCTCACTGAACTACAAACCCCAGAATTCTGCAAGAGAAAGAAACCAGATTTAAAGTTCTCTAGAGCAGTGTTTCTCAACCTGGGGGTCACCAAAGTTGTCTCGCGGGAGAAGACGCGAGAATCGCGAGGCCTGGCTCGGAAGGAATGCGGCCTAAGCAGCGCTCCTTCCTAGCCAGGCCTCCCGAAAATCACGAAGCAATACGTGGGAGTTCCTCAAGAGCGCCCCCCCCCCCAGACGGGCGCTCTACGCAAAAGCGTAATTTGCGTACCGCCTTGGGCCGCCTCTGGATGGGAGTTGCGACTCAACATCTGCAGGACCACAACTTTTTCAACACTGGTGTATAGGTTTTATGGATTTTATTCAACCGTTTTCTGATAAGGCTGCCTTTTGCTTGTTTTTAAATCATCCTACAGAAATGGATATGAGTGAAACTAAGGCTAGTATCAAACGCATAACCTTAAAAATCAATTTTTCAAAAAAAATTTCTCGATTTCCTGTTCTTTTGGCAGGAGGGGAAAAGCAGCGTAGCGCTGAAAAAGGTGTGGTTGCAATAAAATGGTGGCACCCTTTGCCTTATTCCCTGTCCCCAACACACAAATGCCCCAGTGAAGGGAAGAAAGAAAGAATGTAAAAGAAAGGGAACAAGAAGTAATCTCGAAAGCAATTTGCTTGCTCCCTGGATAGAGAGGAAGAGAATCGTCCGAAATCTTTTGGATCTGAGGCACTAAGTTCTGTTTCTTGCACAAGAATCTTCAGGTCTTTCCAGGCAACTGAGGTTTTATTTTCCCTAGGATGTTACTTAAAACATACAATTGGGGCTAGATTTTCCCACAATACTTCTGTTGGGGGGAAAGGCAGGGTCTCCTTCCCCATCTATTGATTCTCGGGATACTCGTGCAGCATGGATCGGGGAGTGTTACGGTCAGGCCAAGGCATCACAAGGCATCCTTTTGCATGAGCTACCATACCACTCGAGGGCTGTCAGTTTTAAACCGTCCCTCTTAAAAAGCAAGCTCATCACCTCGCCTCTCCATTGCCATGTCACTTTCTGAACTTGGGAGAAAGGGACAAAGGGAAAGCTCAGATTTTAGGAGGGAAAGGACAAGTTGCTTTCCTCGAGTGGTCATCTGAGAAATCAAACAAATGTGTTATTCTGAGCAGGGGCAGAATAACCCACTGTGTGATTCTCAGGTCCCATCTACACTGCCATTATAATGCAGATTGAACTGCATTATCCAATCATGTAGACCAGTGGTTCTCAACCTGTGGGTCCCCAGATGTTTTGGTTTTCAACTCCCAGAAATCCTTAGAGCTGGGATTTCTGGGAGTTCTAGGCCAAATTTCTGGGGATCGCAATTTCTATGTTGCCAGAATTTCTACATTGAATGTAACATGAGAACATTCACACGATTAATTAAAGACTGTTTATAAATAGAAGATAATTTTTCAATACTTTGTCAACACAGTGCTTCCAAAATAACAATTAAACAATGTCAGGCACAGTGAACAAAATAACACTTTCTATATTGTTGAAAGATCTTCTTCCAACAAGGTCTCCCGGGTTGTTTCCTTTGTTTCGCAACATCTTCATCAGGTGTTATGATGTTTTAATTCAATTCTAATTGATAGCTATCGGTTCTATTTTGATTTCCTATCAGCATTTATAGTCTTTGGATTCAATTCCTGTAAACAGCCTGGGTTCTGAGTGAGGAGTTCTGAATTGAAGAAGATCTTTCAACAATATAGAAAGTGTTATTTTGTGTCACTGTGCCTGACATTGTTTAATTGTTATTTTGGAAGCTCTAGTTTCACTGTGTTGACAAAGTATTGAAAAATTATCTTCTATTTACAAACAGTCTTTAATTAATCGTTTGAATGTTCTCATGTTACATTCAATGTAAAAATTCTGGGAACATAGAAATTGCCATTTGCAATCTACAGTTTTTGTAATTGTTGTTATAGATATCTGTGCATGTTACACAAATTTCTGGGGACCCACAGGTTGAGAACCACTGATGTAGACTCATATAATGTTGAACTGGATTGACCGCTCCAGCTGGAGGTCAGCTGTGACCAGTAGTGATGCAGAATTTGAGGAGGCACGAGGGGAGGGTGAAAGAGAGAACCGTGCCAGGAGGAAGGCACGTCAAACCAACCCCGACCGGGACCACCTTCCACCTGGAAACCAATGCCTTCACTGTGAGAGAAGATGCAGGTCAAGAATAGGGCTCCACAGCCACCTACAAACCCACAAAAATAGTCATCAAGGAAGACCATCTTATTCGTCCAACGAGGGATCGGCTAAGTAAGAACTGGATTCAGGCCCGTAGCCAGGATTTTGTTTCGGGGGGGGGGGGGGTGAATTTTTTTCAGGGGGAGTTTCGGGGGGGGGGGGGGGGCTGAGTTTGGGGGGGAGTCTGAGTGAAAGAGGGTCTAGCCTAGCAAACCTTTTGTATCATTACCCCAATACCCCCATGCATATGGGATATATTGAGTATGGTGATCAGATCATGATATGAATAAACATAACAGTTTAAATAATGCACCAGTAAGGCCTTTTCGCGAACCACCATGAGAATTTCGGGGGGGGGGGGGGCTGAAGCCCCTCAAGCCCCCCCCCGGCTACATGCCTGCCAGGCTGCCATCTTACTCGTCCAACGAGGGATCGCCTAAGTAAGAACTGGATTATATGAGTCTTCACTGGCCATATAAGAAATGGCAATGTAGATGGGGCCACAGGGACCATGAAGGAACAGTACCATGGCTATCCCTCCCCCAAAGCAAGGCCTCGACGAACACCCCCAGCACAATTCATTCATTACATTGGGACTCTGGGTTACACTCTTCTGTTACTCATAAGTAGCCCTATCTGTAAAAGATGACTGGCTGTTTTTCCATTGTCCGGAGAGGGCCTTGGAAAGCAGCCATTGGGGTGTGCACAGCAGGAGTGGTCTGGCATGCCATCTTTTTCTCCCTTTATTGTGAGTGTGTGTGAAGTTCAAGAATCCCAGTAAAAATTTCCAACAAGGTCTCTTTTCCTTTTTTATAAAAATAGATTTTTGTAAAATCTTTTTAAAATTTTTTGTTGGTTTTTTTTTCTATTTCAGCATTTTTTTCTCTCCTTTGTTCGGTCATTTGTTTGATCTAACGTTGAAAAAAGAAAAAGGAAGACCCCACCCATCGGCCCAACCCCACTTCAGTATCTTCCCCTTGGTCAAAAACACCTTTCTAGCTCACGGGATGGTCAATAAAGACAGCTCTGGGGTTGCGTTCCCTCCTCTGACTCTCTTTCAGGTGGCCCCACGCTTGGTCCTACATATTCTTCATTAAACATTTCTTTAGGAACAAGAAAAGAAAGGGAAGGAAAGCTTCATTTTGGAGGGATAGCAAAGAAAAGAAAAGAAGAAGAGTTTGAGTTATACCACCATCTAACTCTCAAATAGTGACTAAGTCCCAAAGAAGCTGATTCAGGCAATCCACACAAAGACTGGCTGAAACCCACGTGAACTCAAGGCATCTTGGACTCGGCACCAAATCCCCAACCTCCTTGTTCGGTATCACCATGGCCCACGCTCAAAGAAGTTAGCAATTGATCAGATCTGGTTTAAAATTTGGGAAAAAGCAGGGACTCAGCTTTTCCCAGGGAATGAGCCTTCTCTTGGGACAAGCGAGAAGGACCCACATTTAGGACGTAAGGGCTAAATCCAAATACAGCATCATTCTAATCCAGGGCCAGGCAAAGTGGTGGGATTGACAACCAATATCGCTAACATTCAGACCAAGGGATGAGATGAGAGCATTTTCCCCCCACCACATTTGTCCTGTGTCGCATTCAAGGAGAACAAAGGTGGTGAGCTGGACTGGTTATAAATCCTCCTCCTAGGCTAGCTCAGAATATATGACATTCTTTGATTTTGTGGATTTGGGGGTGTGTGTGTATTTCTATCACACCTTACAGAGACTAGTATGGATCCTCCAGGGTGAGAAAACCTGCCCACCAAAAAGAGCAATAGAGAGGTCAGAATTCACAAGGTGAAAGAAGTTATGGACAACTGGGGACTTTGGGTAGATAAAGGAAAAGTCTAAAATGGGAGGGGGGGGAGAGACAGGGGTTGGGGGCACCAAGCATATAAACAGAGAGGTGTCCTATTCTGAGCAGATGTCTCCCCTGCCACGTTGCCAGAGCAAGGTTGGATTTTCAAAAAGTGGCGGACATGTTGCTGCATCCGTGCTCCCCGCTGGGCTTTCGGGCAGAGGGGAGAAGGAAGGGGAGGAGCCTCCTGCTTCCCAGAGAAGATCACGGTGTCTGGCGGTTTAATATTCTGCAACAATTGAGTCAATGAACATTTCCATTCTTATGGTGAGTTGGGGAAGAGGGCTGGTGGATCCAGCACACTTGACGCTCCCCCCTCCCCCCCCCCCTCTTGCTCATTCGCTCATTCATGCCTTGTGTTGCTTACTGGTCTTGAAGGAAACCTGGAGGATTCGGTCACCCAGTCGGTAGCCATTGAGGCTGGCGATGGCCATGGCTGCTTCGTCGTAGTTGGTCATGGTGACAAAGCCAAAGCCCTTGCACTTGTTGGTGGTGAAATCGCGGATCACTTTGACGTTGGTGACGGCCCCGAAAGGCCCAAAGAGCTGCCACAGGACACTCTCGTCGGCCTCGGGGGAGAGGTTGTACACAAAGATGCACCAGCCAGCACTGGAGGCTCCTGTCAGGTTGACTCCCGCCAGACTTGTCATGCTGTCGATCGTGATGGGAGAGAACCTGGAGATCAAGGAGAGAGGACTACTTTGGGTGTAAGGCTGGCATTCCACCAGCATGAGCTCAATGTATCATGGACAGGCTAAGAAGAGAGTGTCTACCACCCAGAGAATGCGAGAGGCATCAGAAGTTCACCCCACCAAATCCCAGCTCCAAAGGGCAAGAGGAAAAGGACTTGGACGCCACTGAGGTGGCTTTTACCAATTACTTTATGGCTAGTAGAAATGTGTGATATTGAGGTCAAACCCAATGTATGTTCCCACCAGGCCCATAGCCAGGATTTTGATTGGGGGGGGGGGCTGAGTTTGATGGGGGGGGCTGAGTCTGAGTGAAAGAGGGTCTACCCTAGCAAACCTTTGTGTCATTACCCCAATACCCCCATGCATATGAGATATATTGAGCATGGTGATCAGATCATGATATGAATAAACGTAACAGTTTAAATAATGTACCAGTAAGGCCTTTTCGCAGACCACCATGAGAATTTCGGGGGGGGGGGCTGAAGCCCCCAAAGCCCCCCCCCTAGCAAACCTTTTGTATTGTAACCCCAATACCCCCATGCATATGGGATATATTGAGTATGGTGATCAGATCATGATATGAATAAACATAACAGTTTAAATAATGCACCAGTACGGCCTTTTCGCGGGGGGGAGGGCTGAATTTGGTTGGGGGGGGCTGAGTCTGAGCGAAAGAGGGTCTACCCTAGCAAACCTTTCATATTGTTACCCAATACCCAATGCATATGAGATATATTGAGCATGGTGATCAGATCATGATATGAATAAACATAACAGTCTAAATAATGTACCAGTAAGGCCTTTTCGCAAACCACCATGAGAATTTCGGGGGAGGGGAGCTGAAGCCCCCAGTCTGAGTGAAAGAGGGTCTACCCTAGCAAACCTTTATCCCCCAATACCCCCATGCATATGGGATATATTGATCATGGTGATCAGATCATGATATAAATAAACATAACAGTTTATATAATGTACCAGTAAGGCCTTTTGACAGACCACAATGAGAAATTCGGGGGGGGGGGGGGGGAGGCCTGTTGAGGGGTGGGGGGGGTGAGTCTGAGTGAAAGAGGGTCTACCCTAGCAAACCTTTTGTATTTTTACCCCAATACCCCCATGCATATGGGATATATTGAGCATGGTGATCAGATCATGATATGAATAAACATAACAGTTTAAATAATGTACCAGTAAGGCCTTTTCGCGAACCACCATCAGAATTTCGGGGTTCGGGGGGGGGGCTGAGTTTGGTTTGGGGGGGCTGAGTCTGAGTGAAAGAGGGTCTACCCTAGCAAACCTTTTGTATCGTTACCCCAATACCCCCATGCATATGAGATATATTGAGCATGGTGATCAGATCATGATATGAATAACATAACAGTTTAAATAATGTACCAGTAAGGCCTTCTCGCAGACCACCATGAGAATATCGGGGGGGAGGGGGCTGAATTTGGTGGGGGGGGGCTGAGTCTGAGTGAAAGAGGGTCTACCCTAGCAAACCTTTTGTATTGTTACCCAATACCCCCATGCATATGAGATATATTGAGCATGGTGATCAGATCATGATATGAATAAACATAACAGTTTAAATAATGTACCAGTAAGGCCTTTTCGCAGACCACCATGAGAATTTCGGGGGGGGGGGGGGCTGAAGCCCCAAAGCCCCCCCCCCCCCGGCTACATGCCTGGCTCCCACCTATGTAATTTCCCCCACATTTCGAAACAAATCTAGGTGGTGAGTGACATTTTATCCCACACTTCAAGGATTATCCTGGTTAGACTGGGCTCTTCCTCAATTTGGTTCTACCTGCAAGTATGCTAGAGATCTCCCATCAGATTTCATGGCTCTAGTAGCAAAGTAACCACATCTATAAAATGCAAGGAGAATGTTGCTAATGCAGAGAGTTGTGACTTTCCTGTTCAAGAACAAGATTATCACACAAGTGTGGGAATTAGAATCCAATGGAGAACTTGACACCATGGGAATCTTGGTTTCCATAAAATACCAAGCTAAAACCTAGTGTTGACAAAAAAAATATGGACGATACACTTCTAATTAAAGGTCTGAGCTTGCTATGATATTGCTAGAAGACACATCTAGTACACACATTCTTCTCTCTTCCTGTTCCTCCTCCTCCCAGTTACCATTCTCAACACTTGCTGGCCAATTTCCTCCTTTCCTGTGCTCTGTGGGGACCCACCTGCATTTTTAAAAATCTAATGTATTTTTCTGAAAAATATATATGAAAATTCAAATAATTGCTAGGCTGGTTCACACAAACCACAGTGGGTATGGTAGTTTTTGTTATTGGACCCAGATGCATTGAATTTGTGTCTGAACAAATCACATTTGCTTGCTGATACCACCGCACTTTCCAAATATTAGTTGGAAACAGTGCTAATTTTTAATTTTCAGGTTACTTTTCCAGCTTCAAGCCAGGTGTAGTCAAGTAGTAGCCGCTATACAAATGTTTTCAAATTCACTTTATTTTATCTATACCAGGGGTCCTCAAACTTTTTAAGCAGAGGGTCAGGTCACAGTCCCTCAAACTGTTGGAGGGCTGGATTATAATTTGAAAAAAAAATGAATTAATTCCTATGCACACTGCTCATATCTTATCTGTAGTGTAAAAACACTTTAAAACAATACAATAATTAAAATGAAGAACAATTTGAACAAATATAAACTTATTAGTATTTCAGTGGGAAACGTGGGCCTGCTTTTGCCTGATGAGATAGGATTGTTTTGGTTGTTGTGTGCTTTCAAGTCGTTTCAGAGTTAGGTTGACCCTGAACGAGGGCCGGATAAATGACCTTGGAGGGCCGTATCCGGCCCTTGGGCCTTAGTTTGAGGACCCGTGATCTATACTATGCATGATTACAAGGGAGGGAGCCCCACTGACCTCAATGCTATTCTATCATGAGGCACTGAATCTAGAAATGGAGAATCTGGGAATCTCTTCGAAATGTCAACAAAGATTCTCCCCACTTATCTTGATGGGAACACGTCAGGGATCTAAATTTATGGTTATTTCATTTTCCCATGCAAGAATGAATCATTTCCATAGTTTTCTCCTCACTGTGGAAGAAAATGATTGCTTCTGTGCAATTTTCACCTGGTATTTGTACATCCAAAAGTGTTTATTCTGCACAGAAATACATATGGGGTATTTGGAGCAAAGATGCAAAACCAAAAACTTTTTAGGTTTCTGAACCTGAGAAGGCATCTCCAGGGCAGACTGGACCACAACAGTCTGCCCCAGAGATGGGAGTGCTTAGATGGGAAACCACTGACAGCCACACATAATGTATTGATGAAGGCTTTCATGGCCGGAATCACTAGGTTGTTGTAGGGTTTTCCGGGCTATATGGCCATGTTCTAGAGGCATTCTCTCCTGGCGTTTCGCCTGCATCTATAGCAAGCATCCTCAGAGGTAGTGAGGTCTGTTGGAAGTAGGAAAATGGGTTTATATATCTGTGGAATGACCAGGGTGGGACAAAGGACTTTTGTCGGCTGGAACTAGGTGTGAATGTTTCAACTGACCACCTTGATTAGCATTTAATGGTTGTGAGAGTGGTCCAGCATTTCTGTGTTCTCAAATAATTTATTTATTTATGTATTATTTACTTTGCTTATATACCATTGTTCTCAGCCCGGGGGGCGACTCACAGCGGTGTAGAACATAGAAAGGACAAGGTTCAAAATTCAAATATGCTGTGTCCAGGTTGGTTCATCAGGTGCTCTGTTATGGCTGACTTCTCTGGTTGAAGGAGTCTGCAGTGCCTTTCATGTTCCTTGATTTGCAACCAAACGCAGCATTGCCCAAACACGAATCAAGAAACATGAAAGGCACTGCAGACTACTTCAACCAAGAGAAGTCAGCCATAGCAGAGCATCTGATGAACCAACCTGGACACAGCATATTATTTGAGAACACAAAAATGTTGGACCACTCTCACAACCACCATGTCAGACTACACAGGGAAGCCATTGAAATCCACAAGCATGTGGACAATTTCAACAGAAAGGAAGAAACCATGAAAATGAACAAAATCTGGCTACCAGTATTAGAAAAACTCAAAAATTACAACAGCAAAACTACAGAGAGTAAACCATCAGGCACATCAAATCACCTCTCAAAAAAAAAAAAAGATTCCCCTAGGCACTTCCAAGCCATTAAATGCTAATCAAGGTGGTCAGTTAAAACATTCACACCTAGCTCCAGCAGACAAGAGTTCTTTGTCCCACCCTGGTCATTCCACAGATATATAAACCTATTTTCCTACTTCCAACAGACCTCACTACCTCTGAAGATGCTTGCCATAGAAGCAGGCGAAATGTCAGGAGAAAATGCCTCTAGAACATGGCCATATAGCCTGGAAACACCTACAACAACCCAGCCACACATAAGATTGCATTTACCTTTTTAAGAATGGTAGGGAAGTATAGATCAGAAGTAGAAAAATATGTAGACATTCTTGTAGTTTGCACCAAGCTTCCCACAAATCTTTGGGAAAGGGTTAATCTGTCTGTTTGCTTCCTACCTTCCCAATTTAGCTTTAGCATTTGACCCACGCCTACCAAACAACGCAACAAATGAAACCAAGAAGCACCCAATGCATTCCCAACCAAGAAAAAGGTAAGACTACAAATCATGAGGAACAGCTGGTTTCTGACTAAAACAGCAGGGCTTTCTATCTAGCCAGGCCAAAAAGAGATTGGAAAGAAAGGTACTGAAGTCTGAAGTGTGTCCCCAAGACACACAACCCTAAATGCCGCAGGTCTAGGGCAGAAGAGGAAGGGATTGTATCCTTTCAGCTTTGCATGTCAAAATAGTCATAGTATTGGAAAGGTATTGGGGGAGGAGATTAAAACATAAAAGTCAACATCAAGGGAAATAATGAGCAAAACAACCAAATAGTGGGGTTTTTTTTAAAAAAAAGAAGGGGGTTCACACTGAATAGGAAAACATATTCAAGTCTCCAGGCGACATCTCGGCAATGATCCCCCGTTTTGGTTCTAAAAAGGGAAGTGTGGCTGCTCTGAAGACGGGGATGGAAAGCCAAGGAGCAGAGAGGGCTCGTGCCTCTGGGAATGGGACTGCCAGTCACCTTTTAAGAACCCAGCGGTGTGCTGTGGGCCAAAGTGGGAAGGGGAAAGGGGGGTGGCGAGGAGGAGCGGAGGCTTTGGAAGGCTATTTACCTCTTGACGCCGTATGCCATGTTTAGCAAATTGTCGAGCCTGTGGGAGGAAGAGGAAGATGAGGAGAGGCCATTGTTAGTAGACGATCTCGTAACAAGAGGGTCCTGCGAGGTCATCTGGCTTGGCAATATTAGTGCGGCAGCACGTGGATTCTACGACAAGCACCGCCGCGGTGCACTAATGTGCAAACACACACTTTTGTGGGTCGAGAGGAAGTTAATGTATTTAAGTTAAATATATATTTTGAAACTAGTAGCAATGGGGAAAGAGCTCACCTATTTTGTTAAAAAATATTTTTGGGATTCTGAGAAATGTGGGGCGTGGTCAGGTATCAACTCATAAGGGCAGTGGAGGCTGCATTTCAAACGTGATGATGATGATGAAAGGAATACCTCGCGAAGGCTGATCTGGCCGGGGTGGTCCATGCCTTGGTCACCTCTAGATTGGATTACTGCAATGCGCTCTACGTGGGGCTGCCCTTGAAAACGGCTCGGAAATTCCAACTGGTCCAATGGGCAGCAGCCAGGATGTTAACTGGGGCCCATTACAGAGAGAGGTCAACCCTCCTGTTTAAGGAGCTCCACTGGCTGCCGTTTATTTTCCGAGCCCAATTTAAGGTGCAGGTGCTTACCTACAAAGCCCTGAACGGTTTGGGACCACCCTACCTGCGTGACCGCATCGCTGTCTACGAACCCACACGCTCACTCCGGTCATCTGGAGAGGCCCTGCTCGTGATCCCGCCCGCGTCGCAAGCGCGCTTGGTGGGGACGCGAGACAGGGCCTTCTCTGTGGTGGCCCCCCGCCTCTGGAACTCCCTCCCGAAAGATCTCAGACAAGCCCCTACATTGGCAGTCTTCAGAAAGAATCTGAAAACCTGGCTGTTCCAATGTGCCTTTTCAGATTAGGAACCCCCAGCACCAAATCCTAGAAGCACTTTAGTAGAACCAAGATCACTGCACACTGCACACCGCACTTATATTATAATCCTATATTCCTCCCGCCACATCAGCACTTTTAATCCTGTACCCCTACTCCGGCCGGCCCAGTTTTTAATAGTGTCTTGTTGTATTGTTACTGTTATTGTTTTCCTGCTTAACTGTTTTTAATTTGCTTTAGGTATTGTATTGTTGTATTGTGTTTTGGGCTTCGGCCTGTGTAAGCCGCATCGAATCCCTTGGGAGATGCTAGCGGGGTACAAATAAAGTTATAATAATAATAATAATAATAATAATAATAATACTAACTCTTTTTTTTAAAAAAAAATCCTACACATCTAGAACAGCACACGGTAAAAGCATTCACAGTTACAATTTGCCAGCCCTGCTTTTATGATTGACTTTATTCTGCAAAGCTATGTCTAGGTTTCATATAGCAATTGCTTGTTGTATAAAACCTCAGTGACAGCCATTACGCTTCCCTTTTTTTTTGGTTAAGAAATCACAGTCTCAAGGGGAAAAACAGGAAACCTCTTGAGTTTCCAGAACTTCCAAGAGGTCAAAGCCATAGATTTTTAATACCTTCCTTCTCACGTACCGGTTACTTCCATTCGAATCTTTCTATCATAAGCAATGCATATATTCTTTCCCAGAAGCTCTTGAAAAAAATTACCCTAAACAGCAACATTTTGTAAAAAATACCTACAAACTGTTCAGTTGTTAAAAAACACACATTTCGATACTCGTGTTTTGCTACCTCTAGGCATGACATACCCGTAGATATCCGTTGACATTTTTATTGTGTTACTAATGTCAATTGTAATGAATTTTTACCTGTGTTAAATGTTTTTAATGCTTACATTATTTTTGTACTGTTGTGGGCACTGAATTGTGCCGTTTTGTAAACCGCCATGAGTTGCCCTCGGGCTGAGAATGGCGGTATAGAAGCATAGTAAATAAAATGAATTTTCTCCCCTGCTGATTCGCATGTGCAGGGATGTGAATGAGCTGAGTGAAAACAATAATTTTCAGGCCCAGGTATATCTTAACAAGTCTGCCTTGGCCTAACAGAATATTGAATAAGCCAAAACATAGACTACGGCTATACAGTGGTCCCTCACTTATAGCTGGTGTTATGTTCCAGAACCACCCGCAATAAGTGAAATTCCGTGAAGTAGGGACGCCCCCTCCCCTCCCCTTCAAGACAGGCCTTATATCCCAGGATCCGATCCCAAGTTTTCTGTTTATCCCAGATTATCTAGCAGTGGAGACTCATACAATCCAATTTAAAGCAGAAATCCTGGGATCAGATCCAGGGATATCGGGCCAGTCTCAAAGGGTCCTCTGTTTGGGGCAATCTTTAACATTTTGTAAACTTTTTGTTCTAAAGTGTGAAATTAAGGCAAGTTTCAACAACATTATCCCCCATCATTAGCAGGACAAAGAATGAGAGGGTCTTTCCTTTGGGAAGGTACCAGCACTACATCATTGGTACCAGCAGGACAAAATAAACAACAGAAATCTGTTTAGTGCTTACAGAAGACCAGATTTTTTTTTTGTCGTGTCAGGAGCGACTTGAGAAACTGCAAGTCGCTTCTGGTGTGAGAGAATTGGCCGTCTGCAATGACGTTGCCCAGGGGACGCCGGGATGCTTTTTGATGTATTTTTTATCATCCTTGTGGGAGGCTTCTCTCATGTCCCCGTATGAGAAGCTGGAGCTGATAGAGGGAGCTCATCCGCCTCTCCCCAGACTTCAGTCCTGCCAGCACAGGGGTTTAACCCACTGTGCCACCGGGGGCTCCTAGAAGACCGGATTATGACAACTGTATTAGCTTGCTGTATTTTCATCTACCAGATACGCAAATATTCAATGCCATAAAGGTAAAGGTTTCCCCTTGACATTAAGTCTAGTCGGGTCCGACTCTGAGGGGTGGTCCTCTTCATTTCTAAGCTGAAGAGCCGGCGTCATCCATAGATGCCTCCAAGGTCATGTGGCCAGCATGACTTCATGGAGTGCCGTTACCGTCCCGCTGTAGTGTAACCTATTGATCTACTTATATTTGCATGTTTTCAAACTGCTAGGTTGGCAGAAGTTGGAGCTAGCAATGGAAGCTCACCCCATTCCATGGATTGGAACCAGCGACCTTCCGGTCAGCAAGTTCTGCGGCTTAGCGGTTTAACCTGCTGTGCCACCAGGGCCCCATTCAATGCCATAGAACAATGCAAAATGAACAAATAGCCCCATAAATAAAACATCTATAACAAATGATAGCAACTACTCACAAAGTTTAAATAATTAAATGAAACATATAAATCTATTAAGCCTACAAAGTAACAAAACAAATCAGTTTAAATAGAACGGTTCACACAGACACCCGACAAACTGTTTTATTCTACAAGCTCTGATTCGCTATCCTACAAGTCTTGATGTGTTTCTTGTGCCAATCTAACATCTTCGCTGAATGCAAATTCCTTACTGAATAACCAAATCCATAATGGACAGCACAGCCAACTACCAACTTTCAGATATAACTTTCATGCATATCCTTTTGACCTCCCTGTCTTTGGCCCTACAAGGCTCAAATCATAGCTTCCTTCCCTCTGCACTTGGTTCGACAACTCCTTCTTCTACCTTGGCAAAATCCAGCTTAAACCCCTCAAGCTTAGAAAACTTAGAAAAATGCTTCTCCCCCTCAGATTTCCAGTTTTAAAATTGGACTCTGACTTCCAAAAGAGTTGTGAGAGTGGATATTCACTGGTGAGTTCCAAAGAAAGAATGGATTGGCAATCTAAACAAATATGTTAATAATAATAATAATAATAATAATAATAATAATAATAATGATGATGATGATGATGATGATGATGATGATGATGATGATAAATCATACAGTCCTAGACGCTTGGGAAATGTTCCGCTTGTGATTTTGTGATACGAAATCTAGCATATAGATCTCGTTTGCTGTGACATACTGTGCTTTTGTGTCAATAATAATAATAACTTTACTTTTATACCCCGCCACCACCTCCTTAAGGGGACTCGGGGCAGCTTACAAGGCTTAAAGGGGTGCCACCCAATGTTACTTTGAAAAAGGAACAAAATGTCACATTAGACATTACAATTTTTCCTGCCTGGGTACAGAAAGGAAGCTTGTTGACCCAGGTACATTGCCACATACAGAAGATACATTTGTCTACTGTATTGTTTACTGTACATGAATTGGGAACCCATGACTGGTAGGGCATAGGATTACAGCCCTGTGTTGGATGGGGTTACACTCCCCCTGAAGACGCAGGTTCGCAGCTTAGGTGTGATCCTGGATTCATCGCTGAGCCTGGAACCTCAGGTCTCGGCGGTGACCAGGGGAGCATTGGCACAGTTAAAACTTGTGCGCCAGCTGCGCCCGTACCTTGGGAAGTCTGACTTGGCCACGGTAGTCCACGCTCTGGTTACATCCTGTATAGACTACTGCAACGCTCTCTACGTGGGGTTGCCTTTAAAGATGGTCCGGAAGCTTCAACTAGTCCAACGAACAGCAGCCAGGTTGCTAACAGGAGTAGCGCTCAGGGAGCATACAACCCCCTTGTTGCGCCAGCTCCACTGGCTGCCGGTTTTCTACCGGGCCCAATTCAAAGTGCTGGCTTTGGCCTATAAAGCCCTATACGGTTCTGGCCCAACTTACCTTACTTACATATCTCCCCTTACGAATCATCGAGGACTCTAAGATAGTCTGGGGAGGCCCTGCTCTCGGTCCCGCCTTCGTCTCAAGTACATTTGGCCGGGACGAGAGACCGGGCCTTCTCAGTGGTGGCCCCTCAGCTATTGAACACCCTCCCTAGGGAGATTAGATCTGCTCCCTCCCTCTTAACGTTTCGGAGGCAAGTTTCGGAGGCATGGTTGTTCGAGCAAGCATTTACAAATGCAGAGTAGCTAATATAGGAAATCGAACAATTTGACAGTGGAACTGGACAATGCTTGATAATAATGAGACGCTAATGATGTTGTTTTTATTGCTTTTGTGGAGTTTTATATTGTTTAATGTTTTGATCTGTATTATGTTTTTATATGTCCTGATTTGTTGGAAACCACCTTGAGTCGCCGAT